ATATTAACATTAATTATATTAAATTTAAAAATATAATAATTAACGGTTTAATTAAAATATTAAATAAAAATAAATTTAAAAAATTTTAAAATTAAATTAATTTAATAAATATTAAAAAGTTATTAAATAAAAAAGTAGTTAAAGTTTTAAATAAAAAGATTTAAAAAAAATAAAATATTTTAAACGGATAAAAAAATTTAATTAAAAAGAAATTGTTTCGAAATATTAAGTTTATAAAATTAAATTAAAAAGGTTATTTAAGGTTATTTTAATTAAACTTATTTAATAACTTTATTTAAAAAGGTATATTAAATTAATTAACTTTACGTAATTTAGGGATAGCTTAACCACTTATAATTTCTTGTATTTTCACTTATACATTAAAGTTTTATACCTTAAATACACATGCAACTTTGAGTCTTAATTAAGCTATTTTAGACAGTTAGAAGCGCTTACCTACTTTGTGACAGGTTGTAATCCCAACATTGTTGAAGCAAGGCTTCACACACCATTGATAGGAGCTATCAGGGAGGGTTTATCTTCAATCGTCAAGCTACTATTGGATCACGGAGCGTGTATTGAGCTAACAACCAATATTGGCAATAACGCTCTCCATTACGCGCTGCTGAGAGAGTCCATGGAGCTGCTAGAGCTTCTTTTGCGACGTGGAGGCGATTGCAATTATCAGGATGCTCGTTCTTGGACACTGCTACATTACGCTGTGGCGGCCAAAAATATAGAGGCAGCTCGCGTGCTTCTCAAATACAACGCCGATCCGAATATACCCAACACCGATGGGGTCACGCCGCTATTCCACTGCGTCGCAACTCAGGATATCCCATCCGTTATTACTAACCTCTTACTTGAGAACGGCGCGGATCCGAATGCCATAGCCAGAATAAAAAATGCAGCCCCAGTACGCCCACCCGGACCATCCACCGGTACCAACGACAGCAGCGCACATAAGCACCACGAGACCCCCATTATCTCCGTAGAGGCTCAGCCTGGCAAGGAATACTACAATCATAGCCCTATTTCCTGGGCCGTGATGAAAGGATATGAGGATTCACTAAAATTATTGCTTTCGGCATGCGATAATATCACCTGGGAGGATCCACAGAACAAAGGGGAGACTATTCTACATTATGCAATTCGACTCGGAAATCAGAAAATCGTGTGCTATCTATTGGTGGGCGGGCCTGTGGCATTACTTAACTCAGTAAATAGCATGGGAGAAACACCACTTCACACGGCAGCACAGCTCGGTGACGTCATGACAGCTAGCATGTTGGTGAATGCGGGATGTGAGATTGATCGTCGAGATTGCTCTGGTTCGACTCCATTAACCGAGGCGCTCTTTTTCGGGGCGCTTGGAGTAGCGGGGCTACTGTTGAGCTATGGAGCCGATCGGTCTATTGCAGACGAATTCATCTACGGCCAATTTAACGACACACCTTGTATAGTCCATGTGGGACCACGAAGCGCGTCTGATCCTCCAGAACTTATGAAGCTTCCTAGACTAAGTATCATGCTTGACTTGATACCTACCTCATAAGGGGCAACGAAGGACAACCCCGTGGGGCTGTACAATAGCTTAAATTACGTTATAACATTTACGCTATCATTTGCAACTATCATTTGCAACATTACCTACGTGCTTTGAATTTCTTGAATGCTTTAAATATTATGCCTGACTTTTCTTTTTCTCTAGGAGCTATCTCAGCAAGCTTAGACCACGGTATATTCGAGATTTCATGCGAATTGTGGTTTGAGAACGCCATTCGGTCGATGAGGGGTATATGGCACAAGTAAAAAGACGTGATGTACACTCCCCGATAGCTTTACAAATAATAATGTAAACATAAAGATGAAAGTTCTTTGAGATAGAGAATCATTTATTCTAACTCTGAGGACTTTGATAATTATATCACAGGGTTCCTTTCGTCAAGTGTTAAGGAGTATACGTCACATCTTTTGACTTATGCTCCATGTCCACACATTGCCCATCTTTGCCTCAGACCACAATTCGCATGAAATCTCGAATGTTATATTCTGCGATATTGAGATAAACTTACAGTATTACACCATGCCGTATTAGATAACTCTACCTCTCGAGGATATATTTTCCATCGCGGAAGATACTAGGACCAGCTTCTCGAGGTAGGGGAGGGAATTCGTTAAGGATCCTAAGTACCTTTCTCAGAACATCAACAAATGGATTAGGTGCTACTCCCCCCGATAAGCCCTTGTTGAAATTAATGCAGTAAAAGTTGTGGCCTGTCGTGAGCGGTCCGGTCATAACGCTGGGCCATGAAGTACCGGTAGTATCGGAATTGTCCCATTTGTATTTAGATAAACCCAGTATATCCGTGGCTAAATGATCCAAGGCCCCATGGCTAACATCCCAGGTGCCTTCATCAGTTAAGTAAATGGGATTATCGATATCGAAGGCTTTCGCTAGCAACCTTTTACTGGCCAAGGATGCCTGGAAATATACATTATTCAAATGAACAGGATTATAATGGCCGGTTGACTGTAGAGTGCGGGTTATGTTGTAGGTAAGCTCATCGTTGCGTATAAAGTTTCTAATTATGTCCAACGGCTGTGCCTGATAATTAAAAACGACGCGTGAATGATACATCCATGGCAAGGATGGGGTCATATAAATCGTGATTGAGAATTGTATATGATGCCTTAGATTTGGAACGAGTTCCCGGTGATTTGCGCCATGCTTTAAAAACTCGTTTACCAGTTCAACCCAGGTTGGTACTGTATCTTCGATGAAAACACTGTCATCGAATGCATGAGCTATGACTTGCAGAAGACGCGCCCATGCCGTCTCCCGTTGTATACTAGGCGTGGATACAAAGTCGTTGTTAATCAAGTTTACAATTTCCACTTCTGCCCTACCGTTAGGGTTAACTCCCCGATCTAATAATGCGAGTATAAGCTGGGCTCGACCTTGGAAGTCTTTGTAGAAATTGACGTCTTCGCTTATTGACGATAGTATATATGGGCGAAGGAGTGGGGATAGTCCATTCAAAGTATAGTGCATGAGCGTTGTACATTGTTTCATGGATAGCTTCGAAAGTTCAGGCAATAATCGAGGTGTAAGCCCACACATCGCATAGAGCTCGAGCGATGAGGTTATATTGTAAAAGTTCACCAATTTCTCAGTATCGCCGGAGGAGAGGGAAAGAGGAGAAGACCAGTGCAGTTCTTCAAGGATGCCACACTGTCGTGTAATCGAACGTAAGAGCTGTTCGCCCTGGTTTTCCAATTGCTCTAATAAAATGCTTAGTATCTCGCCCTTCTCTAGCTGGATACATCGAATAGCCAACAAGGCTTCTGCCAGGCTGCGCCCATTATCTATGAAATCCCGGAGGGTAGATAGTAAATGCACCGGACTGTGGAATACGCAGATTTTACGGATGTATGATCTCGCTCGAGCTACCATTGGATCCCAGAGGCCGTCAGATTCACTCGAGGTGAACTCGTGTGCTTCAGGCGATTGGCGGAAAAAGTCGTAGACAGTCCGATGTATGAAGGTAACCTCTATGCATTCGGCAACCGCTATATCGTCAATTTCATTGGGGATTTCTTTTTCATAAGGTAGTTTCGACGAAATATGCAGTAAACTTCCACATCTTTGCTGTACGTGCATTAAAGTACGGTTGCACTCCTTCAGGACGATTGCCACAGCATTATCTTCAAGGGGCCTGGCATATGTTCTGGTTCCTAGATCTGTAAGTGCCAAGGATAGTACCGAAACTCCCAGGAGGTTGCGCGGACGATTCAACTGTAGGAGTTTAAAGATCCGAGTCGCCTGTATCCTATATCTATCATCAATCCGAGACAAAATGAGGCGATACATCTCATTAAGTCTGGGTGGAAATTCGACTATTCGGGAATGCAATTCATCGAAGTCGTCCCCATTCCTTATACCATCAATAATAGACGTAGTCGCTAGGCTAGCCCATAGGAAAACACCTTCAGCATTAGAGGCTAACAACTGAGTTAAGACTTTTTGCTCGTATTTGTGTAGCATATTGACTTTACATGCCGATTCAATCTTCCCCGCTACGAAGCGTGTAATATCATCTTCCGTAAGCTCTTGGAGACGTATTTGAGGGTATGGTTTCAGCATGCGATGAAAGATTGCCCATGGGCGACTGCTGATGACACACTTGAAATTTTTCATAGATGTCATCCGGCACAGGAGCTGCAATACCTCAGTAGGATTTTCTACATTTTCGTCTAGGCCGTCGACGAATAAGCAAAGACCCGGCGAGTTCTCGACGTCCGCCAAAATTGCTTTGAAGACTTGCAGTAAACGCTGCTCTGTCCACTGGCGAACACCACCACATGGATCGGCGTCGAAGAGATTTACTAACTCGGGTATCTTTGATAGTACCTGGTAAAGGACCGTTTGTAGAAGGCCTCGCTGTGTCTGTTGGAGTGTCGTCCCTTGAGACCAGAAGAAGTACGTCGCAGTGATAGCTTTCTTAGAGCCCGACCACAAGTTAACTGCGTCATTGGTCCTTTTATTGCTGGCGACAAATTTCATGAAGGACGATTTACCCGATCCTGCTTTTCCCGAAACCCAAAACAGACCAGATCCAGACACAAGCCACTGTAATAAGTTTGGTGTTGCTTCGTCGTCGCCGTCTAGAAGTTCGTTTCTAGGCTCTAGTGCCCACTGATACGTTTTAGGGTATGTCTGTTCTATTTGCTCCTCGCGAGAAGATATCTCAGGGAAAAATAAGCTCTTAAGGACACGAACGAAACGCTCTTGGTCGTAGTTAGGGGATGGATGGGAAGCATCGACATTCGGTATTTGCACATGTGCTTGCGCTTCATTTATTCTGGTATAGATAGAATCAAGTTTCTGATCCAGGATCTGGTCAAATCTTGTTTTGTCTTCCTGCAGCCTAAGAATGAGATTCTGAATGTCGCTGCTCGTATTATCGAAATCGGGATTCGAACGAAGTAGAGTTAGATCGTATTTCCTCCTGAAAACTCAGATTAGTTAATTATCTTGATTTATAGCTAAGATAGCCCAGCATCAAGAATTACCTTAGGTCAAGGAGTATTTGTGTCTCTAGAGCTTTTTGGTAGGAAACAAGTTCCTTGTGTAGTTTCTCAATAGCTCGACTTTTGAGGAGTAACTTTGCCGTTAACATCAGTTTCTTCTTGCCGTCGCTATGGCTAGCAGATATATTTAATTTTTCTAACAATTTGTTCGCGGCATCTCTACACTTGCACGCAATAAAGAAAATGGCGTGATCACCCGCCGTGATTGGCTGTGTTTGAGCCGATATATCTTTTTGGAGTGTTTCTAGAGCTTCCTTCAAGCTAACCACGATCTGGTTTTGTACCTGATCGATTTGTCCACTTTCGTATACCTTTTTGCAAACCCCTGCGGCTTTCAGGCCCCAATCAACGACCTGAATAACGTTAACAGCGAAAGAAAAGGCTGCAATCGCCTCCATTCTTTCATATTTCTCGTATTGATAAGACAGAGAAAGGGGGAGACAGCTGTCGGAAGTTTTACTATAGAGGTATTTGCTCATGAGGGGTTTGTGGCAGATATTCTACTTATTACCTGATAGCGTGTTCTCGCTTAGCTGAACATGGCCAGAATTATGCCTTACCATCAGATCTGTTTATTCCACACCAACAGTCAACTGCAATGTAACATCAGGAAGTAAGCTAAATCAGCACCAACTACTGATCTTCATTTGACACATTAAGAGAATAAGTAGGTATGTAACGCTTTGGAGCGATCAGTCAGGCTAGTTATAGTTGTTATATAATGCCATAGTCCTCTTTCGAGAAGGGAATACCTATAAATTCCAGGGGCTTTACATAAGGTTCGTAATATTCAAACGGCTCAGTTTGATTTCATTATCATGCCAAATGCCAAATGCCACATGCTACGAAGCCGATGACACCGTTTAATCCCACGATACAGGTGACCCTGTTGCGACATCCAACTATCCAACTCTACATCGGGTTTCCCATTATAGTTGCACTGGTGAAGGAATTTCTACCTGTTGCCGAATGATACACGAAGAGCCTCTATCAAGAAAGCCAATATTGACCATATCGACTTACCTCGCCAACAGGACGTTGGGGAACAAGTGGGTTGGGGGTAGATTTAGGGGTATATCTACTAGGATTGGTATGTAAGAGGCGCGCAGCGCCCTCGAAAGAGAATAGACAGCCAGGCGTTCATAGTTCAATTAGACTATCATGATATTCAGTCTGCGTACGTACGACACCAATCAAGGGTTCTCTTCAACACAGGAAGTGCAATATACACCTCGTAAGCCCATGTTGCACACCTACACCTCTTAGGTCGATACCTCCTATTTTATCAATGCGGCCTCATTGCCCGTTCGCATCTTATTTGTTTCAAAGCTTCGAGCCTAACCAGCTGGATTTTGATTCTGTCGTAAAAACGGCGCCGTAATTGTTAACAAGCAAATACGCCTTATAGGTATTTGATAGATTCGTATAGAGTAACCCCGTCGATCCCCGGTGATTACAACCAGCTAGGCCCCTGTGTCTTTAAGTTACTGCACTTATGGTAAACATGTCAAGATAGTGTAGCAAAAAAAAAAAAGCTGACTTACCCCTATTCCTGTGTTCATCGCAGTAGTTAGCAGTATAGTGTTCAATAAGCATACACTATATAGCATTATATCAAATAGAAGACGAAGAGATTATGCGTAAGTTTATGATCTGCGAAAGACTTAGGATCCGCGATCGCGTAACCATGATTCGTTAGGTACCCATCAGGTCCCCCTCTCGAGTATAGTGTTTTTTAGCCTACTATTTAGCAAATGCGGCCATGAGTGGTTAGGTAGAATGACGACTCTCCGTCGGATATTGATACCCAGTCATATCAAGCAGACGTATTGAGATATCCAACATTAACTAGATCTTAGTCGATTAGCTTTTGGTCAAAAGAGGCACGTCGGAAAGAACATAGGACCTCGTTGGATGAACTCCCTGTCGATAAGCCATGATCATTGACCACAGTAGCCTTGTATTAGGTTAGAGATCACGGAACCTCCTACAAAGCTTCTCGGCTAATCGATCCTGGAGTCGTGCGGGCCTACGTCGCCCAGGGCCATAACCACTAATGCTATAACCATACAAGGACTTGCGCAGCCTTATTTAGGTACCTCCACTGACTCGCGTCGTCATCTGTCTCAATTCAAAACCCTTGTGCAATTCGAAGTCGGCATGACGTCGGAATGTGAAATGAGCCCGTCGCAAATCAGTCAGACTTCGTGCGGGGGAAGGGCCACAAACAAAAGCAAACTGATCAAATGGGAACACCCTGTATAGGACAATCTCGCCCAGCTAACGAGATGGTTTGACTTCGATCGGCATCACCATAACCTATAGGGAATTCGAAGTTTGACATGGTGCCCTGAGGTTAGCGTTTAGGCGAGTTGACTCAAGTGTCGTGAGGTTTTTGGCTCCTCGCGCGTCGTAGGAGCCCCTATTCAAGGTTACCGCCGAAAACTGAGACAATGTGATAGGTATTTAGCCCAACCGAGGTGTTCCGCAACACAGACTCAGTCGGCTAGCAGAATTGACTGCGCATCTTGTATTACCACCGTCTCGTCGCGGTAAGGTAAAATGAACAGAGCCATGGTAGCGTTAGGTGATTACCCTACGGCAATTACCCCAAGCTTCAAAAGCAATCAGAAGCCGAGATTGGTAGCCGCAGTATCAAGTCGACCCTACGATGTGCAACCTGCACTCGCAAACAAGCTGGGTCTATCGGCCTAGGTCAGTACTATAAAAACCAACAAGTTAGAACGAGACGACCCAGTCCCTAAGCCGCACACTCTATATCAAACGTTGGTTACCTCCTAGACTTGAGCTAGCAATTTTCTTTTCGAAAGTAGATAATCGCCCAAAGCTTCTCGTCTACCAGATACCAGCCAGCACTGACAATATGAGGGTGTTTCGGAACTTATGCCCTATCCTCTTCTCCATAACAAACGTTGAGTCTAGAATTAGCAACGGCCATCAAGATGGGACGATTCACTCGAACACGTACCCGGGATGCATATCCTATGAGACCGCTTTGAATAAGCTTTACACCTGTAATTACTTCGAGAGCTACTGGGGATTATCCCACGACGATTTTATCAAATGGGTAATGCCCACCCCTGATCTTAGATTGGCCTTGGCTGATGTACATAATCTCCAGAACCCTTCAGTCAAACCCGATTGTAGTGGCATTCAAGTTGGCCACTCATACTGTGTTAAGGTCAGCTATGAAAAATCAGCCTCTGCGTCTATCTCCATCTCGACCATTGCAACAGTAACTCCCCCGCCTTCGACTGAGGGCCTCATGATAAACCGTACCGCAATAGCGGTTTCGGCCCCTTCTAGCCCAACCCTCACGCACGCTGGTATTATGAAGGATTGCAACACCTATCATCGGGCAGTGGCTGGCGATACTTGCTCGAAAATTGTGTCTAGGTATAAGATATCGGACCTAGCTCAATTTACGAAGTGGAACCCAGCCGTGGGAGTCGACTGCTCCGGGCTAAGCGCAGATTACTACTATTGCGTCGGTAAGTTATCCTAAGATACTTATAATATTTTACCTACCTACCTACGGCTCGGCCCTTTGATGCTCAGAAATCTCACACGTGAGCGGTATAGGAATCAAAGATGTGCCCAGCACATCTACTACGCACCGTTTTATCACAACGGCGATTCCCCCAGGTTGTATAAGAGTACATCCTACGCCGACCCAACCTGGGTCCATATGCAAGTGCAAATCATGGCATCAAGTTGATTCAGAGGACACTTGCGCGAATATCGAGGCGCGGTATAAGATAACAGCGGAGCAGTTTAATAAATGGAACCCGCTGGTCGGACCTAAGTGTAAGACACTATGGGAGGGATATAACGTATGCGTCGGTGTGTAAGCGGGCCAAATTGTCGTATGGAGTAGGTAATTAGCAACAGGACTTTCTTTCATAACTGCGATGCTTAATATAATTCTACAATAACACATCCCTAATTGCTACTATTGCAAGGTCCTAGCAATATGTAATTGTCCCTTCGGGCAGCCTAGGTATATACTCCGCTAGGGAAAAGGCGCAGCATTATGCGGAGCAGGACGACGACCAGGAATTCCGGATCCTCGGCAGCTCCGTCTAAGAAAAAAAACGGTCTTCCGGACCTACTACAAAACGGGAGATAGACGCGCTTAAAGCGCAGATAGCGGCCGAAAATACCCAAGACCGAATCTAAAGAGGAAGGTGATTAAAGCCACTTGCCTGCCCGAGTCAACGAACGTACACTACCTCTGCTACACGTTCTAGACCCAGCAATAACCACGGAGCCGAGTTTCGAAGCCGAGAATTATATATATATCATGTAAGGGACATATGAGCGTCCTTTTTATTCACGTGCCTCGCATCACAACATGCCAATATTTGTAATGCGCATAGAAGTTAAAGAAGGTATGTTGTGTTGCTCTACACCTCCGTTCACTCATTTCCCCCTTGCCTCCGACATTGCCTGCCAGCCTGCCTACTTACCAAATTATGTAGGTTAGATACCTACCTGTTATCTAGCAATTTCTAATCCTCCATCTATCTTATGTAACTACCTAAATATATACCTAGCAGATCGTGATCATGAACATGAAATTTCGAAGCGAACCCCCATCGCGCATCGAGATAAACCCAGGCCGCAGCCAATGAACCGCATACGAACCGTTACATCCAACTCGCCCTACGCCATGTAGTATAACTGATCTATCATAAGCTGAAATATTAAGTCCAAAAACGGTTCTTAGTACGTTCCTATTACCTATCAGGATCTTAATACTTGAGCCAATCGGGCGCTCTGCCTGTTATTCGTTTTATTCCGGTCCAGAACGCTTGGTTCGAGGCCGTTTTCGTGCAACCCTGCATACATGTGTAAATTGGTAGGGAATCCTGCCATATTGTAGAGTTACTAATTAAGCCAGACGTAACTCTGCACATACAGGGTATATCGGCAACGTAGATACAATACATGTGTATATATATGGACCCTTTACCCACCCGTTGCCGCGGACTATTCCGCGATGGACCAAAGCGGAATACGCGTCGTCCTTTTCAAACCTCGTCTATATGTATTTACAAACTTTGTCTGGAGTTGGCTCCGGGTAGAGCTATTGGATGAGCCCCTTACATCAACATCTAGACCATATTATATGGACCATGTGCCATGCCCATGTGCATACATATACATGTATACGTACGAATAGCAATATAGCTAGCCCTATTAGCTTTGCTGCATCGTGTTGTGGGCATGTATCTAACGTACATGGGTAAGGAGTGGAACTCGTTTGCGCTGTTAGCTATGCAGTAGAGCATGCATGCATATGATGGTAATTCAACGTGCCTTTCTCCCCCCACCATTCAATTATTCCCCGTTTAAAATTCCCTGGGACGCTCAA